GCCACATGTTAGCTTAAGTGGGCCACACAGTGGCTTTCATGGCACCACACAATTAGAATTGGAAAGTTCCGTCAATGTAGTTAACGGAGTTGCATAGGGGTAGATGAAAATGAAACAATTTTGAAAGTTAGTAGATGAGTTTGAAAGAAAACAAAAATTCTAGACTAAAATGAAAAACGAGTAATAGTAAATAGATGATTTTTTTAAATTAAGCCATTATGTCATGCATGTATGAAGAAATTAGTGTAAAGTGTCCAACTGTACACTCGACTAAGACTTAAATCTTGTGCTACAACACTCTTAAAATTACAGCCCTATGCAATACGATTTTTCCCCCAATTTTTTTAAGCTCATTCTATAAAAATGGACGAGAATAACAAATTATTTATTTCACGATAAAAGATGACTAAATAATATGATTGCCTTAACACACACAAACTAAATACAAAGCACATTAGTGATGGGTGAAATAAACTCTTTATTTCAATACTAGTAGACATTGTAAATGAAATATGAAGGGCAAATCACTCAAACCAGTATATATCCATTTCTCTCCAATCTTTTTTCGGCGTTCTTAAGGCTTTCCAGACTGCCTTTGATGCATCAACAATGTTGTTACGGCATGGGGGTCGGTAATCATGCTCAGCATCACATCCATTATAGAGTCACATTCATCAACCACTTGGGCCCTAACTATCTTTCCATTTCCATGGATGTTAATGAACTTCAAACAGCTGCTCCCCTTGTTGTACCATCCTGTTGAAAGTGCTACTATAGGTTCATCATTCGAACGCTACTTATTGTCACATTCAGATACTACACCACCATCCCCACCTGCCTCAAATCTGTTTAGGGTCAAGATTGCCTTTGTATGCCTTGAAATTGGGGGCGAACACTTGTAAATTGTAGATGGCTTACCCTCTACACAACAATCAAAGTCATTCTCTTGGTTGCATTGCCCTCTTGGAGGCTTTTTCCCTTTTATCTTGCCACTAGGCTTACAAGTTTGAGCTTCAACACATAAACAAAGAAAAGGGGAAAAAAATGCAAATTAGAAGAAAAATGCTTGAACAAGTTTACTTCCTCTCTACTAGAAATTATGGATATTCAGACCAATTTATTTTGGTCTAAGAAAATATTAATTCAAATCGTAATTAGTCTAAATATTTATTCACCAGGAATGAGTGGTAAGTTTATTGGAAAATTTTTATTTGAATCGGTAATGGTACAAAAATTGTTGATGCCAAAATAGTGAAAATGAGCCAAACTTTTTTTAGACCATTAGTGGTCTAAATAATTACACTAAAAAAATTACAAAGCAATTTTTAAGTAAACTAATATTTAAGTGAAGGATTTTTTTTGGATATTTTCGGACCAATACTAGTCTATAAAATTGAACCAGGAACCCATAACTTTGCAGACAAATTTTGGTTTGGATAATATGAAATATCTAGATCAATAATGGTATGAAAATATGGCCCCAACGTGCATCTGACTGAGATTACGTGGGGTCAGGTTTATGCATTTTTTCAGACTGGTAACGGTCAAAAAATATCTCTGCAAAGAATCTGCAGACTCTTCTTCTTCCTCCATCCCTTCGCCTATTTCCCATTTCATCCCTCTTATTTTCCTCCCAGTTTTGCCATTTTGTTGGCCAGATTTCTCTTCCATCATCTACCCATCGGTTACAAAAGTGAGAGTGATTTTTCGACCAGTTAGATATGGGAAATCAATCCCTTTAATTTTTTCCTTTTTAATTTTTAGCATTTTCACCAATTTTTATCTTGAAATCCAGCACCTTTAGCCCAAATCTTGCAATCTAAGGTCATCCTCACCATCATTCATCTCCGATTTACACCCCAAGTGGGGTTTTTTTTTTTTTGTTTTTGAATTTTTCTTGAATTTTTTTTATAGGAAATTGATATTTAATATTGATTAAATAATAGGTTTAAGTACCATTTTGGTCCCTCAACTATCCACTTTGGTACCAAAATTGTCCCTCATCTTTAAAAAGTACC